TGAAGTGTACCTATGATAAAAATTACAAACCTCTACATGCTTTGTAAGTAGGAAAACCTGCAAAATCGGCAGTGTATCAAATACTTGTTCTCCCCACTGTATGTATATATATATATATATATATATATATATATATATATATATATATATATATATATATATATATATATATATATGTGTGTGTGTGTGTGTGTGTGTGTGTGTGTGTGTGTGTGTGTGTGTGTGTGTGTGTGTGTGTGTGTGTGTGTGTGTGTGTGTGTATATATATATATATACACCCAACCGTTTGGGGTCACGTCAACAGTGAAGAGGCGACTCCAGGATGCTGACCTTCTAGGCAGAGTTGCAAAGAAAAAACCCATATCTCAGACTGGCCAATAAAAAGTAAAGGTTAAGATGGGCAGTCTGAGTTTTGGCTTTTTCTTTGCAACTCTGCCTAGAATGTCAGCATCCCGGAGTCGCCTCTTCACTGTTGACGTTGAGACTGGTGTTATGCGGGTACTATTTAATGAACCTGCCAGTTGAGGACCAGTGAGGCGCCTGTATCTCAAACTAGACACTAATGAATTTGTTAAAATTGATTTTTTGGGGGTTTGTATCATTTGATTTACACAACATGCCCTACCACTTTGAAGATGCAAAATAATTTTTTGGGTGAAACAAACAAGAAAAACTTGAGCGTGCATAACTATTCAAAGTCAATACTTTGTAGAGCCACCTTTTGCAGCAATTACAGCTGCAAGTCTCTTGGGGTATGTCTCTATAAGCTTGGCACATCTAGCCACAGGTATTTTTTCCCATTCAAGGCAAAACTGCTCCAGCTCCTTCAAGTTGGATGGGTTCCGCTGGTGTACAGCAATCTTTAAGTCATACCACAGATTCTCAATTGGATTGAGGTCTGGGCTTTGACTAGGCCTTTCCAAGACATTTCCCCTTTAACCACTCAAGTGTTGCTTTAGCAGTATGCTTAGGAAGATGAACCTGCTGGAAGATGAACCTCCGTCCCAGTCTCAAATCTCTGGAAGACAAACAGGTTTCCCTCAAGAATTTCCCTGTATTTAGCGCCATCCATCATTCCTTCAATTCTGACCTGTTTCCCAGTCCCTGCCGATGAAAAACATCCCCACAGCATGATGCTGCCACCACCATGCTTCACTGTGGGGATGGTGTTCTCGGGGTGATGAGAGGTGTTGGGTTTGCGTCAGACATAGCGTTTTTCCTTGATGGCCAAAAAGCTCAATTTTAGCTTTTTAGTCCATTTGACCAGAGCACCTTCATCCATATGTTTGGGGAGTCTCCCATATGCCTTTTGGCGAACACCCAACTCTTCCATAAAGCCCAGCTCTGTGGAGTGTACGGCTTAAAGTGGTCCTACGGTCAGATACTCCAATCTCCGCTGTGGAGCTTTGCAGCTCCTTCAGGGTTATCTTTGGTGTCTTTGTTGCCTCTCTGATTAATGCCCGGTCCGTGAGTTTTGGTGGGCAGCCCTCTCTTGGCAGGTTTGTTGTGGTGCCATATTCTTCCCATTTTTAAATAATGGATTTAATGGTTCTCCATGGGATGTTCAAAGTTCTGGAAAAAATGTTATAACCCAACCCTGATCTGTACTTCTCCACAACTTTGTCCCTGACCTGTTTGGAGAGCTCCTTGGTCTTTATGGTGCCGCTTGCTTGGTGGTGCCCCTTGCTTAGTGGTGTTGCAGACTCTGGGGCCTTTCAGAACAGGTGTATATATACACACACACTGAGATCAGGTGACAGATCATGTGACACGTAAATAAAGTCCACCTGTGTGCAATCTAACTAATTATGTGACTTCTGAAGGTAATTGGTTGCACCAGATCTTATTTAGGGGCTTCATAGCAAAGGGGGTGAATACATTTGCACACACCACTTTTCCGTTATTTATTATTTAGATTTTTTTGAAAGAAGTAATTTTTCTCCTTTCACTTCACCAATTTGGACTATTTTGTGTATGTCCATTACATGAAATCAAAATCCATTTAAATTACAGGTTGTAATGCAACAAAATAGGAAAAACGCCAAGGGGGATTAATACTTTTGCATGGCACTGTATGGAATCATGTAGTACCCAAAAAAGTGTTAAACAAATCAAAATATATTTTATATTTGAGATTCTTCAAATAGTCACCCTTTGCCTTGATGACAGCTTTGCACACTCTTGGCATTCTCTCAACCAGCTTAATCTGGAATGATTTTCCAACAGTCTTGAAGGAGTTCCCACATATGCTGAGCACTTGCTGGCTGCTTTTCCTTCACTCAGCTCATCCCAAACCATCTCAATTGGGTTAACGTCGGGGGATTGTGGAGGCCAGGTCATCTGATGCAGCACTCCATAACCCTCCTTCTTGGTAAAATAGCTCTTACACAGCCTGGAGGTGTGTTGGGTCATTGTCCTGTTGAAAAACCAATGATAGTCCCACTAAGCCCAAACCAGATGCGATGGCATATCGCTTCAGAATTCTATGGTAGCAATGCTGGTTAAGTGTGCCTTGAATTCTAAATAAATCACAGACAGTGTCACCAGCAAAGCACCCCCACACCATAACACCTCCTCCTCCATGCTTTAGGGTGGGAACCACACTTGCGGACATCATCCGTTCACCCACACCGCGTCTCACAAAGACACAGCGGTTGGAACCAAAAATCTCAATTTTGGACTCCAGACCAAAGAACACATTTCCACCGGTCTAATGTCCATTGCTCGTGTTTCTTGGCTCAAGCAAGTCTCTTCTTCTTTTTGGTGTCCTTTAGTCTGGCCTGATTCACACAGGCCTGATTCACACAGTCTCCTCTGAACAGTTGATGTTGATATGTGTCTGTTACTTGAACTCTGAAGCATTTATTTGGGCTGCAATTTCTGAGGTTGGTAACTAATGAATTTATCCGCAGCAGCAGAGGTAACTCTGGGTCTTCCTTTCCTGTGGTGGTCCTCATGAGAGCCAGTTTCATCATAGTGCTTGATGGTTTTTGCGACTGCACTTGAAGAACTGAACTCCTGAGTGGCGCAGTGGTCTAAGGCACTGCATCGCAGTGCCACTAGATCCTGGTTCGAATCCAGGCTCTGTCGCAGCCGGCCGCGACCGGGAGACTCATGGGCGGCGCACAATTGGCCCAGCGTCGTCCAGGGTAGGGGAGGGAATGGCCGGCAGGGATGTAGCTCAGTTGATAGAGCATGGCGTTTGCAACGCCAGGGTTGTGGGTTCGATTCCCACGGGGGGCCAGTATAAAAAAAATATGTATTCACTAACTGTAAGTCGCTCTGGATAAGAGCGTCTGCTAAATGACTAAAATGTAAAATGTAAAAATGTAAGAAACTTTCAAAGTGCTTGAAATGTTCCGTATTGACTGACCTTCATGTCTTAAAATAATGATGGACTGTCGTTTTTCTTTGCTTATTTGAACTGTTCTTGCCATAGCCCTATTTGGTCTTTTACCAAATAGGGCTATCTTCTGTAACCCCCCCCCCCCCCCCCCCCTACCTTGTCACAGCACAACTGATTGGCTCAAACGCATTAAGAAAAAGAAATTCCACAAATTAACTTTTAAGAAGGCACACCTGTTAATTGAAATGCATTCCAGGTGACTACCTCATGAAGCTGGATGAGATAATGCCAAGAGTGTGCAAAGCTGTCATCAATGCAAAGGGTGGCTATTTGAAGAATCTCAAATATATTTTGATTTGTTTAACACTTTTTTGGTTACTATATGATTTCATGTGTTATTTCATAGTTTTGATGTCTTTACTATTATTCTACAATGTAAGAAAATAGTAAAAATTAAGAAAAACACTTGAATGAGTAGGTGTGTCAAAACTTTTTACTGGTAGTGTATACACACACACACACAGTGCATCCGGAAAGTATTCATACAACCTTATTCTAAAATTGATTAAATCGTTTTTTCCCCTCATCAATCTACACACAATACCACATAATGACAAAGCAAAAACAGGTTTTTAGAAATATTTGCTAATATATAAAATTAAATAAACTGAAATATCACATTTACATAAGTATTTAGACCCTTTACTCAGCAATTTGTTGAAGCACCTTTGGCAGCGATTACAGCCTAGAGTCTTCTTGGGTATGACGCTACAAGCTTGGCACACCTGTATTTGGGGAGTTTCTCCCATTCTTCTCTGCAGATCCTCTCAAGCTCTGTCAGGTTGGATGGGGAGCGTCTCCGCACAGCTATTTTCAGGTCTCTCCAAAGATGTTCGATCGGGTTCAAGTCCGGGCTCTGGCTGGGCCACTCAAGGACATTCAGAGACTTGTCCCGAAGCCACTCCGGCGTTGTCTTGGCTGTGTGCTTATGGTCGTTGTCCTGTTGGAAGGTGAACCTTCATCCCAGTCTGAGGTCCTGAGTGCTCTGGAGCAGGTTTTCATCAAGGATCTCGCTGTACTTTGTAACGTTCATCTTTCCCTCGATCCTTACTAGTTTCCCAGTCCCTGACGCTGAAAAACATTCCCACAGCATGATGCTGACATGCAATGTCAACTGTGGAACCTTATATAGACAGGTGTGTGCCTTTCCAAATCAATTGAATTTACGACAGGTGGACTCCAATGAAGTTGTAGAAACATCTCAAGGATGATCAATGGGAACAGGATGCACCTGAGCTCAATTTCGAGTATCATAGCAAAGGGTCTGAATTCTTATGTAATGTGATATTTGCAAAAATGTCAAAAAACTTGTTTTCGCTTTGTCATTATGGGGTATTGTGTGTAGATTGATGAGGATTTCTTTAATCCATTTTAGAATAAGGCTGTAATGTAACAAAATGTGGAAAAAGTCAAGGGGTCTGAATACTTTCCGAATGCACTGTATATACATACACACACACACCCAGTCCCACACCCACCCAGCGTCTCACACCCACACAGCCATTTTGTGACTTTAAATATGTGATTTGGGAGCAATGCTTGCTGGTGAAATTTGTGTGTGTGTGTGTGTGTGTGTGTGTGTGTCAGTCTTACCCTCTGCCAGGCGGCGTTCGTGGCCGAAGTAGACCCTGGTAGCAGAGCTGTTGATGCAGGGTAGGGGCAGCTGGGGTAGTGCCACCTCACACACCCCTGGCACATTCTAGAGGAACAGGTAGAGCAAGGACATACTGTTAAGACACACTGATACCGAACATCACACACACAAATATAGCCCCCTTGTGCAAGACTCATTAACAGACTCTGCATCCTGATATAAAGTGCTATAATAATCAAGACTCACAACTTGGGTTCAGCGCGCACACACACACACAGCTTCCTCACTGGCCGTAGTGGAGGGTAAGAACACACACACAAATGCACAAGCACTTCTGACTCATCCAGACCAAGCTCAGCTCATTTCCGATTCCTAAAAGCACACACACTGTCTACTAGAAGTCATTTATTTTAATAACCAAACTCTGTTAAATTACATAGAGATTCTGGGGTTGCCGCATAGGCTTCAAGTTCTTTGATGTATTAATCAGAGAGCAGTACTAATATAACAGGTTTGTGGAGGAAGCATTGTCAGATTTCAGGTGAATGTTTCTTCAGAAACAGTGGGACTGAGCATGACATAACATAGTTATCACGCCAAGGCCTTGTTCAGGGGTATAGAGGTACTCTCTAAGGAAGGCTCCCTGAGGTTTTATTGAGGTTATGTATAGGTTGTGTTGTCATCTTGTTTTCGTGACTATGATGAAGGCTCCCTGCTGTGTGGTTGTAATAATGTTGTGCTAACATTATATTAAGGTTGTTTTAAGGTTGTGATAGGGTTGTGAGTGTGTTACCCTGTAGACGTAGAGGTACTCCCGGAGGAAGGCTCCCTGCTGTGTGGAGGTCTGCTGGCTGTCGTTGGTGAGGATGTGTCTGAAGGCTGAGACAGCGTTCTCTGGTTGACGCAGCGTGAAGGACTGGCGGCCGATAGTGAAGTTGATATGGTCCTCAGCCAGGGACCAGCCTTTACCCTTATATACCTGCATGGCCTGGCAGTAACACCGCAACGCATGGCGCTTCTACAGAGCGAGAGAGAGGTGGCGCGAGAGGGGGGGACAGGGAGGGGGAGAGAGGGATAGAGAGAGTGGGGAAGAGGGAACGAGGTACAGATAGAGAGGGAGAGCAAGAAGGTGGAACACAAAGTAAGAAAGAGAGCAAAGCGGAACAGAAAGTAATGAGAGAACAATCAGAAAACGTGAACAGATGAAAAGCTTCATTAACTAGCTCCATCAGTCAAAAGTTCTAAATGGAATGCTCTAACGGTTGTAGAACTTAATTCACATTATGATGCTCTGAACATACTGGGCTTCAAAAGGACGGATTCCATTAAACCTCTCTGACCCACCTAGTTACCTGTAAATCACTGGTCTGTCTCAGATCACCTTGTTCTGTTTATTTGGTGATCAAACGTTTTTTTAATTAGTAATAAATGTCAGCAAACATGAATAACCTCGTTCTGTTTTTAAAAGGCCTGGTTGTGGTTAACACACACACACAAAGGCATGCACAAACACAGGTATGGTCCCACTCACCTGTCCTGCCTTGCTGAAGCGGTGTCCTGCCAGGATCATGTGGAAGGCAAACTTCCTGACCATGGGGTTTCGCATGTTAATGAAGCAGTGGGCTGCCTGCTCCAATAGGAGGGCAGAACACAGATCAGAATCCTGGGAGGGAGATAGTGACAGAGATAGACAGGTTAGCTAATACCATGGACATACCACACACACACGTTAATTTAACCTTTAGTTGTACAGAGAGACCTGTTCAAGACATCAGCAGGCAGCAACATTACAAAAGTTTCACACATACATATGACACACGTAACATTCAGTAATCTGACTTCTACAGAGCTGCACAGAGCCAGAGGTCAATCTACAGAATAAAAACATAGAACCTGTGGTCACAATTAGGCCATAGTCAGAAGTAGTGTGTACTTCTCACCTCACTGGTCATCTTGATGAGGAGGGTAGCAGCATCAGAGTACTTGGCCTGACTCTTCAGTACCTCAGCACTGAGCAGAGCACAACGCTCAGCTAGGACCTTGTTCCTGTAGGGGTGGAACATTTATAAAACATATTCATACACACTACCACAGGAGTGGGAGAGCCTGTGCATTGTAGTTGTGTGTTTTGTGACTTGTATGCGGCTGTTCAGCTAGGAAGCTGGGTATTTTAGCTTACTGTATATTGTTAATCAACGTGTGTTTTTGTGACAACACTTGCAGGTGTGTGTGTGTTAATGTCGTACTTGCACACATCTCTGTAGGTCTGAATTGCCGTGTCCATGTAGTGTGCTGGATACGGCCGTGGAGCCCCACCCTGTAGAAACGCAGACACTGCTGCCATCTCCTACAGACAGATCGACAGAGAGCGCGAGAGAAAGAAAGAGAGAGAGAGATAATTAGAAAGAGAGGGTGCAGCAATATGAGGAGAATAATCATTTAAAATGTATCCATTTCTCATATATCGAAATAACCATTAGCGTTGAGTGTCATAAGTGGTAATCTGGTGGGTGTGTGGAGGATAGGTAGGAACACATCATGGCTCCAGACCACATCACACTGTCATTAACATTCTGGCTACACACACGCAAGTCTCAAACAAACACACGCACCTGTACAAGTCTCAAACACAAACAGGTCTGCTGTTAATACTCCTGTGACCCAGATAACGATGCGGCCACGCCTCATGGCTAACACAGCGGGATGCTAGGACAAACTTCACATTGCCTCTGTCTAGTCTGCTGTGGTAGATACCCCACTGCTCAGGGCTCCAAGAGTACAAACACTCAGGACTCTTGTTTTGTTGACATCCTTCAGAGGTGCAGGTTAGATTGGTGTGCGTGTGCTCAGCCTCAGCCTCAGTATTGTACTGCGGGTGCTACTGCTGCTTAGCACCAACCTTCTGGCACCTGAACCTTAGCTCCTGCTGTGTCCTTTCTGCAAAACTGTTCACTACCTTCATGACAATGTACTGCGTGTGTGAGCGTGTGTACAGTATGCACATGTGTGTTTATGTGTGTAGGTTCTCTGAGTGTGTGTGTGTGTGCACGCGTACGCTCGTCATCTCTCTCTCTCCCTTTGTGTGTGTGTTCTCACCAGTGCCCCAGCGGCGTAGAGCATGGCCTGGTCAGATAGGAAGTCCTTCTTGGCCGTGTGGTAGCAGCTGTAGGCCAGCTCATAGTGCTGAACCAGGAAACACAGGTCAGCCATCTTCCTGATCTGCAGCTCAGGGGCTTCTGGGGGATAACTGATGAAATCACACAGGGCAGAGTTCACATACTCAGCTGAGGTACAGGTGGAGGTGTTAGAAAACACCATCCAGAACCATTCCAAGTCTGAGACTCAAATAACACCCTATTCCCTATTTACAGCAATACGTTTGACCAGGGCCCATAGAGCTCTGGTCAAAAGTAGTCCACTATAGTGAATAGGGTGCCATTTGGGACGCAGCAAAATCTGCAAACTGTACAGTGCATTCGGAAAGTATTCAGAGTCCTTGACTTTTTCCACATTTTGTTATGTTACAGCCTTATTCTAAAATGGATTAAATAAATAAAAATACTCAATCTACACACAATACCCAATAATGACAAAGCGAAAAAAGGTTTTTAGAAATGTGTGTAAATGTATCAAAAATAAAAAACAGAAATACCTTATTTACATAAGTATTCAAACCCTTTGCTATGAGACCCAAAATTGAGCTCAGGTGCATCCTGTTTCCATTGATCATCCTTGAGCTGTTTCTACAACTTGATTGGTTTCCACCTGTGGTAAATTCAATCGATTGGACATGATTTGGAAAGGCACACACCTGACTATATAAGGTCCCACAGTTGACAATGCATGTCAGAGCAAAAACCAAGCCGTGAGGTCAAAGGAATTGTCCGTAGAGCGCTGAGACAGGATTGTGTTGAGGCACAGATCTGGGGAAGGGTAACAAAAAATGTCTGCAGCATTCAAGGTCCCCAAGAACACCGTGGTCTCCATCATTCTTAAATTGAAGAAGTTTGGAACCACCAAGACTCTTCTTAGAGCTGGCCGCCCAGCCAAACTGAGTAATCGGGGGAGAAGGGCCTTGGTCAGGGAGGTGACCAAGAACCCAATGGTCACTCTGACAGAGCTCCAGAGTTCCTCTGTGGAGATGGGAGAACTTTCCAGAAGGACAAACATCTCTGCAGCACTCTACCAATCAGGCCTTTATGGTAGAGTGGCCTGACGGAAGCCACTCCTCAGTAAAAGGCACATGACAGCCCGCTTGGAGTTTGCCAAAAGGCACCTAAAGGACTCTCTGACCTTGAAAAACAAGATTCTCTAATTTAATGAAACCAAGATTGAACTCTTTGGCCTGAGGAAACCTGGCACCATCCCTACAGTGAAGCATGGTGGGAGCAGCATCATGCTGTGGGGATGTTTTTCAGCGGCAGGGACTGGGAGACTAGTAAGGATCGAGGGAAAGATGAACGGAGCAAAGTACAGAGAGATCCTTGACGAAAACCTGCTCCAGAGCACTCAGAACCTCAGACTGGGGTAAGGTTCACCTTCCAACAGGACAACGACCTTAAGCACACAGCCAAGACAACACAGGAGTGGCCCAGCCAGAGTATGGACTTAAACCCAATTTAACATCTCTGGAGAGACCTGAAAATAGCTGTGCCGCGATGCCCCCCCTCCAACCTGACACAGCTTGAGAGAATGGGAGAATCTCCCCTAAGACAGGTGTGCCAAGCGTGTAGCGTCATACCCAAGAAGACTCAAGGCTGTAATCGCTGCCAAAGGTGCTTCAACAAAGTACTGAGTAAAGGGTCTGAATACTTACATAAATAAGGTATTTCTGTTTTAATTTTTTTTATACATTTGCAAAAATTTCTAAAAACCTATTTTTGCTTCATCATTATGGGTTTTTGTGTGTAGATGAGGGGAAAAACGATTTAATCAATTTTAGAATAAGGCTGTAACGTTACAAAATGTGGAAAAAGTCAAGAGGTCTGAATACTTTCCGAATATACACTGTCTTCGGTGAAAGCCTACAGCTAATCTTTGAGGAGTTCTCTCTCTCTATCCTCCTATTCTGCACCTCTGATTGGACACCTGCACCTCTAATTGGACACATGGATGGTTGAACTCAGTAAATGTGTGATTGTGTTCATACCGTATGTACCAGACATACAGTAGGATCCAAGGTGTAATCTCTTAATGAGAGGACATTGCAATCTTTCAAAGCACTGGTTAGTGAGAAATGTGATAGCTATAGTATTGCCACTTACTAACTGGAAAACCTCCTTGCTAATGGTGATGTAGAACAGGGATGGGCAACTTTGATGTAGTGGGGGCAACAAAAAAATCTGAACTCATCATGAAGAGCCACAGTGCCTAGCGGGTCTGCGTACCCACATCCATACAGAGCCGGCCCTAGCCTATTGGGGGCCCTAAGTGACATTTTGTTGGGCCCCCCTGACATAACAGGAGAAACTGCTGATGTGAAACTAAATTTCCAAATTGCACATTGTGTATTCTACTATTCTAACTCTCAAAAGTAAGTTGAGACACCGACTGAGTTCCCAAAAAAAAAGATCCGCTGGCCACCAGTTGCCCATCCCTGATGTAGATGAAGAGGAGGAAGGGAACGGAGAAAAGGAGGAGAAGGAGGGTGATGTACTTACAGAAGGCCGGAAGTGTTCTTCAGTTCAGCGATACTCTTCTCTGGAACTTTCCCTCCTCCAAACCACTTCTTAGTGGCTGAGAACAGAGAGCGACTCAAGCCTTTCCTGGAGACCAGCTACAGAGGGAGGGGAAGGAGGGAGAGAGAGAGAGAAAGAATGCGATCCGATCATTAGAATGCCTAAGGCCATATAATTGATCGTGTCCATCTATCATTAATCAGTCCCTCTAGGATTTTGCAGTTTTTGTGTCAATACACCCTGACTGATTAATCAATACACAATCTGACAGAAAGTACATTTGCTTAGATATGGCATCAATCAGGGGACAGTTACCAATAAATATGACAATACAAGACAACACAGTGGTAATATTATACTACCTGAGCCTGTGTATACGCGGTCGCGAAGCGGTCTCATGGTCATTGTGTGTGTGTGTGTGTGTGTGTGTGTGTGTGTGTGTGTGTCTACCTGGTCATTGAGCTGTCTGATGTTCTTCTCTATGTGAGGCAGTAGTCCCCTGAAGGTAAACTCCTGGATGAATAGTCTGAGGCGGTCATGGTCTTTAAGCGTTAGACACGCACCATGGCTGGTGCCCGCCGCCACTCCCGTGTAGACTGTCGTAGTCTTGGTTTCCACGGCGACGGCCCTGAGGGAGTCCAGGCTACCGGGCGTGTCACTGGCCGTGTCCAGCTGGAGAGGGTGGGTGTTGTCCAGACTGTTGATCGAGACTCCGTCTGATAAACAACAAAACATTGTCAAGAACCTAGGCACACTTGAAATGAGGGTGTGTGTCCAGACTTCATGGAAACTACATCTGAATAAACAATACATTGTCAACCCATACATGCTTCAGATGGATTAGTAATGAGCATAGTTTCTCCAACTGGATTAAATAATTCAACTACAGCAGTGTCTTTCTTGATCTGTCATCAATCTCTCAGTAAGGGAGAATGAGTCGGACAAACAACAGAGGTGGAGAAGAGGTTTCACACATACAAAATGTGTATTTTACACATCTTTGAAATGTTTTTTTATTGATATGCAATCGCACTGAACCAACAACCTTGGAGTTGCTAGCGCCAAGCTCTGTTCAACTGAGCCACACAGGACCACAAGTATGTGTATGTTCAGTCAGAGTTGAGGAATGGCTAATGATATGAAATCTTCAGCTTCTGAGTATTGCTAAGTGGCTAAGCTCACCATTCTCTGCTGAGTCATGTCCGTCCATCTCTGGTGTTCCTCCTACATTGTTCTCTACAGCCGTGTTGTTCACCACTACAGGGGCTGGGGCTGGCTCCTCAGACTGATCCTAGAACAGCCAGGAGCAAACATGACAATATATGGGTCATGTTCAATAGGCACGAAACTGAAGAAAGTAGAGCCTGACCGATATGGGATTTTAGGGTCCGATACTGATACCGATTTTAGGGAGGCAATAGTCACCGATTACCGATATACCTGCCTATGTATGTTTTTTTAGAGGTGGAATGAAAAACAGACCTTATCACAAATTGTGTTCAAAATGATTAACAGATACTCTAAATGATCATTCCTTAACTAAATATTAAAATTATAATTAAGAACATTGTATTTGTGGTTTACTTGATAACCACCAAAAATAAACTTCAGTGCATTTGGAAAATATTCAGACCCCTTGACTTTTTCCACATTCTTACATTCCAGCCTTATTTCAAAAAATGTATAACATTAATTTTGTTCCTCCTTAATCTACACACAATATCCCATAATGACAAAGCGAAAACAGGTTTAGACATTTTTGCAAATGTATAAAAAAGAATATTATTATTATTATTATTTTTTACATAAGTACTAAGACCCTTTTCTATGAGACTCAAAACTGAGCTCAAGTACATCCTGTCTCCATTGATCATCCTTGAGATGTTTCTACAACTTCATTGGTGTCCACCTGTGGTAAATTCAATTGACTGGACATGATTTGGAAAGGCACACACCTGTCTATGTAAGGTCCCACAGTTGACAGCTCATGTCAGAGCAAAAACCAAGCCATGAGGTCGAAGGAATTGTCCGTACAGCTCCGAGACAGGATTGTGTTGAGGTACAGATCTGGGGAAAGGTAACAAAAAAGAATCTGCAGCATTGAAGGTCACCAAGAACACAGTGGCCTCCATCATTCTTAAACGGAAGAAGTTTGGAACCACCAAGACTCTTCCTAGAGCTGGCCGCCTGGCCAAACTGAGCAATCGGGGGAGAAGGGCCTTGGTCAGGGAGGTGACCAAGAACTTGATGGTCACTCTGACATGGCTCCAGAGTTCCTCTGTGAAGATGGGAAAATCTTCCAGAAGGACAACCATCTCTGCAGCACTCCACCAATTAGGCCTTTATGGTAGAGTGGCCCGACGGAAGCCACTCCTTAGTATAAGGTCCATGACATCCCGCTTGTAGTTTGCCAAAAGGCACCGAAAGGACTCTCAGACCATAAGAAACAAGATTCTCTGGTCTGATGAAACCAAGATTGACCTCTTTGGCCTGAATGCCAAGTGTCAAGTCTGGAGGAAACTTGACACCATCCCGACAGTGAAGCATGGTGGTGGCAGCATCATGCTGTGGGGATGTTTTTCAGCGGCAGGGACTGGGAGACTAGTCAGGATCGAGGGAAATATGAATGGAGAAAAGTACTGAAAGATCCTTGATGAAAACCTGCTCCAGAGCGCTCAGGACCTCAGACTGGGGTTAAGGTTCACCTTCCAACAGGACAACGACCTTAAGCACACAGCCAAGACAACGCAGGTGCGTCTTCGGGACAAGTCTCTGAATGTCCTTGAGTGGCCCAGCCAGAGCCCGGACTTGAACCCGATCGACCATCTCTGGAGAGAACTGAAAATAGCTGTGCAGCGACACACCCCATCCAACCTGACAGAGCTTGAGAGGATCTGCAGAGAAAACTGGGAGAAACTCCCCAAATACAGGTGTGCCAAGCTTGTAACGTCATACCCAAGAAGACTCAAGGCTGTAATCGCTGCCAAAGGTGCTTCAACAAAGTACCGAGTAAAGGTTCTGAATACATATGTAAATGTAATATTTGAAAAAATTTATAAAAACTATTTTTGCTTTGTCATTATATGGTATTGCGTGTAGCTTGATGAGGGGAAAAAAGTATTTAATCAATTTTAGAATAAGGCTGTAATGTAAATTTTTTGGGAAAAAGTGAAGGGGTCTGAATACTTCCAGAATGCACTGTATACCCTCTATAAATACAAAAAACTTGTTCAGTTTACTTTCTGTCAAACGTAAAGATTTGTCTATCTATGGCAGTGGATAAAAATGTAGAAGTGTTCGTACTGAAGCCCCACAAGCACACTAATAAACAAGAAGGGCTGAATGAATTAAACTTTGTCTCAAAGTAAATCTAAAACTGCCCTGTTCACAAACTATGCAGTGAAACGCAGTAAGATGCAGTTCGTAATGTCACCAATAGATGTGAGCATCAGCATTTGTATTGAGTAGATTCACTACAGTGCTTTACAACAAGGACATGTAAAGAAACACTTTATGGCAACCTCACAATGAGAGCTTGTTATAACAAGCATACACTCGCAGTTCATTACGAAAATGTTTTCTTACTGAAACCATAATGTAAATTACACTTACTCAATATAAAATATATTAGCTATATATTTCAACTGAAAATGGCATGCGCCGAGTACGTTCATGCAGGAAAATTCTTGCCGCATTGTTTTTAGTCAGACACGTTCAAATTTCGCTGCTAGTTAACAAACAATCTTATCTCATCATTAATGCAAGCACACGGCCTGAATGATAGATCTGCGCCAACGGTCGTGCTTTTTGCATTATGCAAATTTAGGAAAATAACTAAATAAGCCAACTAGCGAACATAATACGCCTAGACAGTAAGAGTGTTGTTTTTGTATCAAGGATTCAGTGTTCACTTTGGCGCCAGTCCAATGTTTGTATATAAGTAGCACCGATTGCTAGCTAGCTAGGCTAACCCCCTTGCTGGCTAGATATACCCTAACTACATTGCTGGCTAGCTAGCCAGCTAATGTTAACCAAGTGAGCATGTGACGAGGACAGGGCTGCTTGCTTGGTGACTTACGGGCTGAATGATGTTCAGTGAGCAGCTCGTAGGGCGCCCTCTTCAGGCAACCATTGAACAATTCAAAGAATGACCACAAATTAGCAAACTTATTTGTTAATTCTATGTATATAATATCGGCACTTTATCTGTGTAATAAAGACCGATACAAATATTTATGTGAAAGGCTAATATCGGCCGATAATATCAGTCAATCCATTTATCGGTCGGGCTCTAGAAGAAAGTGCTCTGAAACGGAGTAAAACGTGAAGGTACTAGCTGAACTTGTCCAATAAGCAACACTCCTTTTCCTTTGCGAAGTGTCCTAATGAACCCGACAATGGTACGGTCAGTTATCTGCTACTGTATATTAGCAACTGACAATTAGATACTTGGAAAATGTTCTGGACTCTACTGTACCTGGCTTTGCAGGCTGCTCTTGTTAAGGTATTGGCTCCATGGGTCCGGTATCTGTTCGTCTGCTCCTACTGCTGCTGTACGAGAGTTGATCTTCAGCAGGTAACAACCCTGAGCACCATACCTCTGCTTCATATCCTCATACACAGAGTCAGCTCTGAGAGCACAAGAGAGAAAAAATATATACAATCACAGGCAAAGAATGACGCATTAACAGTTTACAGCAGTGGTCACCAACCTTCTGATTCAAAATGCAGGTCGAAAAAAAACCATTAAAAAAAACGTAAGCCTATGCAACATTAAACTTTTAAAGGCCCAGTGCAGTAAAAAACGTGATTTTTCTTTGTTTGATATACAGTGCATTCGGAAAGTATTCAGACCCATTGACTTTTTCCATTTTGTTACATTACAGCCTTATTCTAAAAGGGATTCAATTGTTTTTTCCCCCTCATAAATCTACACAAAACACCCCATAATGACAAAGCAAAAAGAGGTTAAGAAATGTTAGCAAAATTAAATGTTACATTTACATTAGTATTCAGACCCTTTACTCAGTACTTTGTTGAAGCACCTTTGGCAGCGAATACAGCCTTGGGTCTTCTTGGGTATGATGCTACAAGCTTGGCACACCTGTACTTGGAGAGTTTCTCCCATTCTTCTCTGCAGTTCCTCTCAAGCTCTGTCAGGTTGGATGGGGAGCGTCGCTGCACAGCTATTTTCAGGTCTCTCCAGAGATGTTCGATCGGGTTCAAGTCTGGGCTCTGGCTGGGCCACTCAAGGACATTCAGAGAGTTGTCCCAAAGCCACTCCTGTGTTGTCTTGGCTGTGTGCTTAGGGTCGTTGTCCTGTTGGAAGGTGGACCTTAACCCCAGTCTGAGGTCCTGAGCGCTCTGGAGCAGGTTTTCATCAAGGATCTCTCTGTACTTTGCTCCGTTCATCTTTCCCTCGATCCTGACTAGCCTCCCAGTCTCTGCCGCTGAAAACCATCCCCACAGCATGATGCTGCCACCACAATGCTTCACCGTAGGCATGGTGCCAGGTTTCCTCCAGACGTGACGCTTGGTATTCAGGCCAAAGAGTTCAATCATGGTTTCATCAGACCAGAGAATCTTGTTTGTCATGGTCTGAGTCCTTTAGGTGCCTTTTGGCAAACTCCAAGCAGGATGTCATGTGCCTTTTACTGAGGAGTGGCTTCCATCTGGCCTGATTGGTGGAGTGCTGTAGAGATGGTTGTCCTTCTGGAAGGTTCTCCCATCTCCACAGAGGAACTCTGGAGCTCTTTCAGAGTGACCATCGGGTTCTTGGTCACCTCCCTGACCAAGGCCCTGAAATCAATTTTGAGTCTCATAGCAAAGGGTCTGAATATTTACGTAAATGAGGTAATTCTGTTTCCTATTTTTAATACATTTGCAAAAATGTCTAAACTTGTTTTCACTTTGTCATTATGGGGTATTGTGTGTAGATTGATGAGGATTTGCATTTATTTAATCAATTTCAGAATAAGGCTCTAACGTAACAAAATGTGGAAACAGTCAAGGGGTCTGAATACTTTCCGAAAGCACTGTATGTCCTGAATACAAAGCATTGTGTTTGGGGCAAATCCAACATCACTGAGTACCACTCCTCATATTTTCAAGCATGGTGGTGGCTGCATCATGTTATGGGTATGCTTGTCATTGGCAAGGACTACAGAGTTTTTAAGGATAAAAAGAAATGTAATAGAGCTAAGCACAGGCAAAATCATTGAGTAAAACCTGTTTCAGTCTGCTTTCCAACAGACACTGGGAGACAAATTCACCTTTCAGCAGGACAATAACCTAAAACACAAGGCCAACTATGCACTGGAGTTGCTTACCAAAATGACATTGAATGTTCCTAAGTAACCTAGTTACAGTTGACTTAAAAACCAGCTTGAAAATCTATGGCAAGACCTGAAATTGGCTATCTAGCAGTGATCCACAACTCAACTTGATATAGCTGCCAAAGGTGACTCTAACATGTATTGACTTAGGGGGTTGAATACTTACAGTGGGAAGAACAAGTATTTGATACACTGCCGATTTTGCAGGTTTTCCTACTTACAAAGCATGTAGAGGTCTGTAATTTTTATCATAGGTACACTTCAACTGTGAGAGACGGAATCTACAATAAAAATCCAGAAAATCACATTGTATGATTTTTAAGTAATTAATTTGCATTTTATTTATTTTTATTTAAGAAGACCTCCAGTTCTCCACTCATTACCTGTATTAACTGCACCTGTTTGAACTCGTTACCTGTATAAAAGACACCTGTCCACACACTCAATCAAACAGACTCCAACCTCTCCACAATGGCCAAGACCAGAGCGCTGTGTAAGGACATCAGGGATCAAATTGTAGACCTGCACAAGGCTGGGATGGGCTACAGGACAATAGGCAACCAGCTTGGTGAGAAGGCAACAACTGTTGGCGCAATTATTAGAAAATGGAAGAAGTTCAAGATGACGGTCAATCACCCTCGGTCTGGGGCTCCATGCAAGATCTCACCTTGTGGGGCATCAATGATCATGAGGAAGGTGAGGGATCAGCCCAGAACTACACGGCAGGACCTGGTCAATGACCTGAAGAGAGCTGGGACCACAGTCTCAAAGAAAACCATTAGTAACACACTACGCCGTCATGGATTAAAATCCTCCAGCGCACGCAAGGTCCCCCTGCTCAAGCCAGCGCATGTCCAGGCCCGTCTGAAGTTTGCCAATGACCATCTGGATGATCCAGAGGAGGAATGGGAGAAGGTCATGTGGTCTGATGAGACAAAAATAGAGCTTTTTGGTCTAAACTCCACTCGCCGTGTTTGGAGGAAGAAGAAGGATGAGTACAACCCCAAGAACACCATCCCAACCGTGAAGCATGGAGGTGGAAACATCATTCTTTGGGGATGCTTTTCTGCAAAGGGGACAGGACGACTGCACCGTATTGAGGGGAGGATGGATGGGGCCATGTATGGCGAGATCTTGGCCAACAACCTCCTTCCCTCAGTAAGAGCATTGAAGATGGGTCGTGGCTGGGTCTTCCAGCATGACAATGACCCGAAACACACAGCCAGCGCAACTAAGGAGTGGCTCCGTAAGAAGCATCTCAAGGTCCTGGAGTGGCCTAGCCAGTCTCCAGACCTGAACCCAATAGAACATCTTTGGAGGGAGCTGAAAGTCCGTATTGCCCAGCGACAGCCCCGAAACCTGAAGGATCTGGAGAAGGTCTGTATGGAGGAGTGGGCCAAAATCCCTGCTGCAGTGTGTGCAAACCTGGTCAAGACCTACAGGAAACGTATGATCTCTGTAATTGCAAACAAAGGTTTCTGTACCAAATATTAAGTTCTGCTTTTCTGATGTATCAAATACTTATGTCATGCAATAAAATGCAAATTAATTACTTAAAAATCATACAATGTGATTTTCTGGATTTTTGTTTTAGATTCCGTCTCTCACAGTTGAAGTGTACCTATGATAAAAATTACAGACCTCTACATGCTTTGTAAGTAGGAAAACCTGCAAAATCGGCAGTGTATCAAATACTTGTTCTCCCCACTGTATGTAATGAAGATAGTGGTTTTATTGTGTGTTTTTTGTTTTACAAATGTTCAGAAAAAAATTCCACTTCGGCATTAATTTTGTGTAGATCGTTGACAAAAAATGACAATTTAATACATTTTAATCTCACCTAGTAACACAAAAAAAATATCTGAAAAATTCAAAGGGCGTGAATACTTTGATGGCACTGTATTTCCACACTAGGAGGTTGGAATAATACTGTGAAATTGTGAAAATGATGATAATAACCTTTTAGTGTAAGAGCTGTTTGAAAAGACAGTCTGAAATTTCAGCCTGTTTTGGTGGGATGGAGTTTTGGTCTGCCACAGTAAATGAGTTAATAGACCAATAAATTCCAAACCTCTGCCAATAACAGATTGTTTTCCCCTCCCCACACAAACCACTCCCAGACAGTCCTAATAAAATTCTTGCTTGAGAAATTGCTCTTTGCTAAGAAGCTGTTTTTGTTAATTTTTTCCAGTTTTAATAAAATAATAAAATAAACAGTAAGGTATTTAATTGTTACCCAGAAATGATTTGATTTTTAGATCAAAAACGGCTGCATTGGACCTTTTAAAAACAGTTTTGTACCAATGAGGTTTGTGCAGTAGGCTATAGGCTCAACACATAATCACATTATTCATGAATTGCCTTGCCAATGTTGTTATTCTTAGACCATTTAAAAATTATATTTCAAAACGTGAGGTATATGATCACACTGGTAATATATATATTTGTTGTATTACTTGAGGCAGTCTCTCTCTAGTCATGTTTTTTTTTTAACGTTTTGAAATCTTACACAGTAGAGTCGACTATCAACTTCGCTAAGGGCTCGTGGAAGATGCGGAGTGCAGACACGGTGATCCGAACTATCCAATTGGCCAGGTGTAGGCCTATAGGTGCACATGATTTGCTCTCCAGGGCGCGCCGGGTAGGTGGAGTTTGTACCTTCAGACACATTAAATGGTTCAAAATGGGAACACTTCAATTACCCAGCGCGCAGAGCCGCTGAATCAAGTACACCTACCACAAACAGCCTGGACCGAATAAAAAAAATTGGAACGTAAAGCTTTATCATTGGGCTTTTTACAGGAATGTTTGGGGATAGACTAGGAAAGCCTTGGAGATCGGCCAGTCGCTCGGTTGGTGACAACTGGTTTACAGTGAGGTGAAAACTTGAAAAACACAATGAAAAATAAGGCAACAGTAAAAATGTAATCCCCCACAAATGATGCAGCACCCCCCCTTGGGCCAATTAGTGACAATTATTCAAATTTATGTTGCATGGATTAACGAGAATAATTTTTTAAAATAAAAATCCCTCTCGCTGGAAATCAATGGGCGGAGCTTATAGGTCCTTATGGGGAAACTTGTTTGTCATGAAGGGCTGCATATATGTACACAATTTCATGACTGTAGCTCAAACGGGACAGGAGATATACTTAGCAAAAGTTCAGTTGATTACTATAACGCCCCCCTTGGGCCAATCAGTGTAATTTTGTAAATGTTAGCTGTCCATGGCAAGACCCATCATTCACCCAAGAATTTGTCAAAATCAGGCCAGCGGTGTCTGAGATATCGTGTGTGACTAACGAACACTACCAGCAAAAGTTTGGACACACCTACTCATTCAAGGGTTTTTCTTTATTTTTACTACTTTCTACATTGTATAATGATAGTGAAGACATCAAAACTATGAAATAACACATATGGAACCATGTAGTAACCAAGAAAGTGTTAAACAAATCAAAATTTATTTTATATTTGAGATTCTTCAAAGTAGCCACCCTTTGCATTGATGACAGCTTTGCACACACTTGGCATTCTCTCAACCAGCTTCAAGAGGTAGTCACCTGGAATGCATTTTAATTATCAGGTGTGCCTTCTTAAAAGTTAATTTGTGGAATTTATTTCCTTCTTAATGCGTTTGAGCCAATCGGTTGTGTTGTGACAAGGTAGGGGTGGTATACAGAAGATAGCCCTATTTGGTAAATGACCAAGTCCATATTATGGCAAGAACAGCTCAAATAAGCAAAGAGAAACGACAGCCCATCATTACTTCAAGACTGGAAACCCAAATTGGTCTACACGGACAAGTTCTGGCCTGGTTTAGATCCTACCTGTCGGAAAGATATCAGTTTGTCTCTGTGAATGGTCTGTCCTCCGACAAATCAACTGTACATTTCGGTGTTCCTCAAGGTTCCGTTTTAGGACCACTATTGTTTTCACTATATATTTTACCTCTTGGGGATGTTATTCGAAAACATAATGTTAACTTTCACTGCTATGCGGATGACACACAGCTGTACATTTCAATGAAGCATGGTGAAGCCCCAAAATTGCCCTCGCTAGAAGCCTGTGTTTCAGACATAAGGAAGTGGATGGCTGAAAACTTTTTACTTTTAAACTCGGACAAAACAGAGATGCTTGTTCTAGGTCCCAAGAAACAAAGAGATCTTCTGTTAAATCTGACAATTCATCTTGATGGTTGTAAAGTCGTCTCAAATAAAACTGTGAAGGACCTAGGCGTTACTCTTGACCCTGATCTCTCTTTTGACGAACATATCAAGACTGTTTCAAGGACAGCTTTTTTCCATCTACGTAACATTGCAAAAATCAGAAATTTTCTGTCCAAAAATGATGCAGAAAAATTAATCCATGCATTTGTTACTTCTAGGTTAGACTACTGCAATGCTCTATTTTCCGGCTACCCGGATAAAGCACTAAATAAACTTCAGTTAGTGCTAAATACGGCTGCTAGAATCCTGACTAGAACCAAGAAATTTGATCATATTACTCCAGTGCTAGCTTCCCTACACTGGCTTCCTGTTAAGGCAAGGGCTGATTTCAAGGTTTTACTGTTAACCTATAAAGCGTTACATGGGCTTGCTCCTACCTATCTTTCCGAGTTGGTCCTGCCGTACATACCAATACGTACGCTACGGTCACAAGACGCAGGCCTCCTAATTGTCCCTAGAATTTCTAAGCAAACAGCGGGAGGCAGGGCTTTCTCCTATAGATCTCCATTTTTATGGAACAGTCTGCCTACCCATGTGAGAGACGCAGACTCGGTCTCAACCTTTAAGTCTTTACTGAAGACTTATCTCTTCAGTAGGTCATATGATTGAGTGTAGTCTGGCCCAGGAGTGTGAAGGTGAACGGAAAGGCTGGAGCAACGAACAGCCCTTGCTGTCTCTGCCGGGCCGGTTCCCCTCTCCACTGGGGTTCTCTGCCTCTAACCCTGTTGCAGGGGCTGAGTCACTGGCTTGCTGGTGCTCTTTCATGCCGTCCCTGGGAGGGGTGCGTCACTTGAGTGGGTTGAGTTACTGACGTGATCTTCCTGTCTGGGTTGGCGCCCCCCCCCTTGGTTTGTGCTGTGGTGGAGACCTCTGTGGGCTATACTCGGCCTTGTCTCAGGATTGTAAGTTGGTGGTTGGGGATATCCCTCTAGTGGTGCGGGGGCTGTGCTTTGGCGGAGTGGGTGGGGTTATATCCTTCCTGTTTGGCCCTGTCCGGGGGTTTCTTCGGATGGGGCCACAGTGTCTCCGGACCGCTCCTGTCTCAGCCTCCAGTATTTATGCTGCAGTAGTTTATGTGTCGGGGGGCTGGGGTTAGTTGGTTATACCTGGAGTACTTCTCCTGTCTTATCCAGTGTCCTGTGTGAATTTAAGTATGCTCTCTCTAATTCTCTCGTTCTCTCTTTCTCTCTGAGAACCTGAGCCCTAGGACCATACGTCAGGACTACCGGGCATGATGACACCTTGCTGTCCCCAGTCCGCCTGGCCTTGCTGCTATTCCAGTTTCAACTGTTCTGCCTGCGGCTACGAAACCCCTACCTGTCCCAGACCTGCTGTTTTCAACTCTTAATGATCGGCTATGAAAAGCCAACTGAGAGACCTGAGCCCTAGGACCATACGTCGGGACTACCGGCCGTGGTGACTCCTTGCTGTCCCCAGTCCGCCTGGCCTTGCTGCTATTCCAGTTTAAACTGTTCTGCCTGCGGTTATGGAACCCCTACCTGTCCCAGACCTGTTGTTTTCAACTCTTAATGATCGGATATGAAAAGCCAACTGAGATTTATTCCTGATTATTATTTGACCATGCTTGTCACTTATGAACATTTTTGAACATCTTGGCATGGTTCTGTTATAATCTCCACCCGGCACAGCCAGAAGAGGACTGGCCACCCCTCATAGCCTGGTTCCTCTCTAGGTTTCTTCCTAGGTTTTCGCCTTTCTAGGGAGTTTTTCCTAGCCACCGTGCTTCTACACCTGCATTACTAGCTGTTTGGGGTTTTAGGCTGGGTTTCTGTACAGCACTTCGAGATATTAGCTGATGTAAGAAGGGCTATATAAAATAAAATTGATTGATTGATTGATAGATAAAGGTCAGTCAATACGGAACATTTCAAGAACTTTTAAAGTTTCTTCAAGTGCAGTCGCAAAAACCATCAAGCGCTATGATGAAACTGGCTCTCATGAGGACCGCCACAGGAATGGCAGAACCAGAGTTACCTCTGCTGCAGAGGATAAGTTCATTAGAGTTACCAGCCTCAGAAATTGCAGCCCAAATAAATGCTTCACAGAGTTCAAGTCACAGACACATCTCAACATCAACTGGTCAGAGGGGACTGTGTGAATCAGGCCTTCATGGTCGAATTGCTGCAAAGAAACCACTAGGTATCTTAGTGGTTAAGAGCGTTGTGCCAGTAATCGAAAGGTCGCTGGTTCTAATCCCCGAGCCGACTAGGTGAAAAATCTATCGATGTGCCCTTGAGCAAGGCACATAACCCTAATTGCTCCTGTAAGTCGCTCTGGATAAGAGCGTCTGCTAAATGACTAAAAATGTTTTTAAAAAAATAATAATGTACTAAAGGTCACCAATAATAAGAAGAGACGTGCTTGGGCCAAGAAACACGAGCAATGGACATTAGACCGCTGGAAATGTGTCCTTTGGTCTGGAGTCCAAATTTGAGATTTTTGGTTCCAACCGCGGTGTGGGTGAACGGATGATCTCCGCATGTGTAGTTCCCACCGTAAAGCATGGTGGAGGTGGTGTTATGGTGTGGGGGTGCTTTGCTGGTGACACTGTCGGTGATTTATTTAGAATTCAAAGCACACTTAACCAGCATGCCTACCACAGCATTCTGCAGCGATACACCATCCCATCTGGTTTGGGCTTAGTGGGACTATCATTTGTTTTTAAACAGGACAATGACCGAACACACCTCTAGTCTTTGTAAGGGCTATTTTATCAAGAAGGAGAGTGATGGAGTGCTGCATCAGATGACCAGGCCTCCACAATCCCCCGATCTCAACCCAATTGAGATGGTTTTGGATGAGTCGGACGGCAGAGTGAAGGAAAAGCAGCCAACAAGTGCTCAGCATATGTGGGAACTCCTTCAAGACTGTTGGAAAAGCATTCCAGGTGAAGCTGGTTGAGAGTGTTCAAAGCTGTCCTAAAGGCAAAGGGTGGCTATTTGAAGAATCTCAAATATAAAATATATTTTGATTTGTTTAACACTTTTTTGGTTACTACATGATTCCATATGTGTTATTTCATAGTTTTGATGTCTTCCTTATTATTCTACAATGTAGAAAATAGCAAAAAAATAAAGAAAACCCTTGAATGAGTAGGTGTGACCAAACTTTTGTACTGTACGTACAGAGACAGATCCATAGTCGTCGTCCCCCCCCCCCCGCCCCGATTTCATTGTGGGGGACAATAAATGTGATTATTCCTCTTTTTTTTTTTTTATGTACGTACGAACGGACGGAGACGGATCCATAGTCAAAAATACATTCTCAATCCACGCATCAAGGTTATGCTAATAGTGAGGTTTCAATTCAAGGTTGTGTACTGGTAAAAACATTTTGGAATCCATAACTGCCGGTGGGGAGCAGAGTCAACAACCTTCTCATTACTGCTTCTGTCTAATTATGCAGAGGGTCACACACACACACACAGAGTTAGCCGAGATCAATGGATTAAAGAGAAGGAGAGCTGAGGTAATAGACCTGGCTGTCTGAGAGTGTGTGTGTCAGAGTGTGTGTCTGAGAGTGTGTTTGTGTGTGTGAGAGAGTGAGTGAGTGAGTGAGTGTGTGTCTGTGTGTGCATGTGAATGTGTGTGTGTTTGTGTCTATTGCCCACCTCTGTTCATCCCCCTGGCTCATGTCGTGCAGTAGGACGTAGTATTTGAGTGTGTTGGGGATGAACCACTTGGGGTTTGTGTACTCTCCATTGTGCTGGATCCTGTGCTGCTCCTGAGACAGCTTGAGGAACTGCTCCACTGGTACAGCCTCACTGGACGACACCACCAACAGACCTGCAGGAGCACCAGTCAAGGAACCACAACCAGAGAGAGAGAGCAGCAAAAGGAAAGGAGAATGAGAGGAGTAGGAAGGGTGGGGAGAGAGAAGGATGAAAATAGAGGAGAAAGGGAAAGAGGTGGCGAGTGACAGAGGGATGAACTGAAAAATGATAATGCCCTTTTAGTGTAAGAGCTGTTCAAAAATACAGTCTTTTGACTTGATTTTGAGATACAAACGGCTGCATTGGACCTTTAAAAACAGTTCGGAGATTTGTGCAGTAGGTTATAGGCTCAACACATTATCACTGCATATTGGCTACATTGGCTATTCTTGAATTGCCCTGCCAATGTTGTTCTTCTCAGATCATTTGAAAATTATATTTAAAAACGTGAGCTACAGTGCATTCGGAAAGTATTCAGACCCCTTTACTTTTTCCACATTGTTACATTACAACCTTATTCTAAAATGGATTAAATCGTTTTTTTCCCCCACATCAAGCTACACACAATAGCCCTAAATGATAAAGCAAAAACATGTTTTTAGAAATGTTTGCACATTTATAAAGAATTAAAAACAGAAATACCTTATTTACATAAGTATTCAGACCCTTTCCTCAGTACTTTGTTGAAGCACCTTAGGCAGCGATTACAGCCTTGAGTGTTCTTGTGTATGACGCTACACGCTTGGCACACCTGTATTTGTGTACCTGTAAGTCGCTCTGGATAAGAGCGTCTGCTAAATGACTAAAATGTAAATGTATTTGGGAATCTCCCATTCTTCTCTGCAGATTATCTCAAGCTCGGTCAGGTTGGATGGGGAGCATCGCGGAACAGCTATTTTCAGGTCTCTCCGGAGATGTTCGATTGGGTTCAAGTCCGGACTCTGGCTGGGCCACTCAAGGACATTCAGAGACTTGTCCGGAAGCCACTCCTGCGTTGTCTTGGCTGTGTGCTTAGGGTCATTGTCCTGTTGGAAGGTGAACCTTCACCCCAGTCTGAGGTTCTGAGTGCTCTGGAGCAGGTTTTCATCAAGGATCCCTCTGTACTTTGTAACGTTCATCTTTCCCTCGATCCTTACTAGTCTCCCAGTCCCTGCCTCTGGAAAACATCCCCACAGCATGATGCTGCCACCACCACCATGCTTCACCGTAGGGATGGTGCCAGGTTTCCTCCAGACATGACGCTTGGCATTCAGGCCAAAGAGTTCAATGTTGGTTTCATCAGACCAGATCATCTTGTTTCTCATGGTCTGAGAGTCCTTTAGGTACTTTTTGGCAAACTCCAAGCGGGCTTTCGTGTGCCTTTTACGTCTAGAGGAAACCTGGCACCATCCCTACGGTGAAGCATGGTGGTGGCAGCATCATGCTTTGGGGATGTTTTTCAGAGGCAGGGACTGACTAGGAGACTAGTCAGGATCGAGGGAAAGATGAACAGAGCAAAGGTCTGATTGGTGGAGTGATGCAGAGATGGTTGTCCTTCTGGAAGACTCTCCCATATTCACAGAGGAACTCTAGAGTTCTGTCAGAGTGACCATCGGGTTCTTGGTCACCTCCCTGACCAAGGCCCTTCTCCCCCGATTGCCCAGTTTGGCCAGCTCTAGGAAGAGTCTTGGTGATTCCAAACTTCTTCCATTTAAGAATGATGGAGGCCATTGTGTTCTTGGGGACCTTCAATGCTGCATACATTTTTTGGTACCCTTCCCCAGTTCTGTCCCTCGACACAATCCTATCTTGGAGCTCTACGGACAATTCCTTTGACCTCATGACTTGCTTTTTGCTCTGACATGCACTGTCAACTGTGGGACCTTACATAGACAGGTATGTGCCTTTCCAAATCATGTCCAATCAATTAAAATGTACCACAGGTGGACTCCAATCAAGTTGTAGAAACATCTCAAGGATGATCAATGGAAACAGGATGCACCTGAGGTCAATTTTGAGTCTCATAACAAAGGGTCTGAATACTTATGTAAATAAGGCATCCGTTTTTTTTTTATTCATTTGCAAAAATTTCTAAAAACCTGTTTTCGCTTTGTCAGTATGGGGTACTGTGTGTAGATTGATGAGGAATATTATTTATTTAATCCATTTTAGAATAAGGCTGTAACGTAACAAAATGTGGAAAAATCGAAGGGGTCTGAATACTTTCCGAATGCACTGTATATGATCACACTGGTAATATATAATTTGTTGTAATAAAAAGTAAACAGTAAGGTACTTAATTGTTACCTAGAAATGATTTGATTTTGAGATTTGATTTTCATAATCATAGTGTTTATTGTAGTATGTTGAAGCAGAGAAGGATACAGGCGAGGTAGTGGTTGAGGAACTCATGGTCGGAGGCAGGCATCGACTGGAGGAAGCTCTCTCTGTATGCCTCAAACCAGGGAGTCGTGGCTGGAGAGAGGTCAACAACAAGATGAGAGAGAGAACATCACTCTAATCAGACCTCACCTCCATGCAACACAACCCTGAGAGAGTGGAGCTGCACAGAGCCCACCTGTAGCCTACAGCCAGGGGAGCTGCAGAGAGGTCTAGACACACCCAGCTCAACCAGCCAGGAGAGGCTGGGAAGTGACACACAAGACACACACACACACACACACACTGATTGCTGAAGGGTCTGATTGCGTAGCTACAACAAATGATACTCAGGGAGAGAAATAAATGAATGATTAACCAGATGAAAGATAGTTAGGATTGTACCAGCACTCGATTCTTCTTTTATCCTAAACCCCATTGAGATGCAGAGAGCATCATGCTGCTTATTGTAGACTAGATTTGTCATCAAGAGATACACCCAGTATTTTCAGAAGAACAACCAGCGGCAGTCAGTAATGTTGACATGACAATGAGGATCAAAGCAAGTGTAGACATCAACTACGTAACGTAACACCTGTATGTGTGCGAGTGTGAGGAAATAGTGTTGTCTGCATACTGACTCCGGTACTATCGGAACTTGTCCAATAAGAAGCTTGTGATCTTTAAAAAAAAGTGTGACCTAATGAACACATCCCGGTAATTCCATCATCTCCATCATCTCTGGTTCTCTTGCTCTTCAAATTCATCACAACACAAACACAGCAGGCTGTGTGTTTGGACTAGATCAATTGATAAGTGAACTGTACAGAGCTGCCGGTGTCTCGCTCTACGCGTGGACGCTAAAACCAACAACCCACTCCAACACCTTGTTACGACCCACAGATGTTTCTGGACAGAGGACAGCTCTCCTCGTCAGCGCTGATAGAATTTCTTATGCCGTAGGCAGAAACTAAAATATAGGCCTAAATTACACAGCAAGGAGCGACAATAAAATCAAAAGACAGACCATTGAATCCCAGATTCAATCGGACTATGGATGGAGAAACTTTAAACCAAGACTGACAGTAAAACAATAATTTGGTTATATAGCAGTACATTTACTATAGCAGAACACAGGCACAACAGCAGTATGAGGAAGATGAACCTATAAACCTCTGGGCTCGGCTCCAGTCCATTTTCCAAAAGATTAGGCAGTAATACATTTACATTAATCAATGTATGGCAGAGAAATCATGAGGTCAGTCTAGTGTTGCACGGTATATACCGAAACATCGGTACTTTTTCGATACTAGAACATGAAAAACGGTTCAGTACTAGAATTTGTGTTACTTTCGGTACTTCTGCCAAATGTGTCTCACGTCATATACTGATTGAGAGGATCAAATCTGTCTAGTAATTTGTCTGAATAATTTCAAGGGGGCAGTAGCTAGCCAGGCTGCCCTTGTGCATGCAGCTGACACAGCGGCAGCAACTTTTGAGAAGCAAGCGAGAGGAGAGAGAAAATGCCGACAGCATGGCTTCTTCTAACAAAAACATCATACATCATAGTTCCAAAATGACAAAAAACTACTTTACAATGACATTTGCATTGTAACTTTGTCATTATTCTACTACATTTGAATTATTTTTGAGTGACAATGACATTAACATATATTCAGCATGACATTCATGTGAGAATTATATGATTACACAACCCTAAAGTAATGTGAAATGCACTCATAACTTGACAGCAATATATTTAGACTTCGTGTTTGTCTGGGCTTGCTAGCAGTAGCCACTAGCCAGCCAGCAGCCCTGGGTGGAGAATTGCACCCTGGGAAGTGAAATGCACTCTGGGAATCGTACTTTGTTGTGTAAATTCCATTGTATTTCTATTGCGTGTAGACTATTGCAATATAGAAGCTTCAGAAAGTAGCTTCAAAGTGTTTTTTTTTATGTTGTTTTGGAACTATTCATTTAATACATTAAAATATTTAGCTGTAATGAATGTCATTTGACCAAATATTGTGGCCATATGAGCAAATAAACCCTGATATGTATCAAATCATATTTTAAAACAGTTTAGATGTCATTGTAAAATTATTTCGTATGCTCAGTCTCATACAGTGGGGAAAAAAGTATTTAGTCAGCCACCAATTGTGCAAGTTCTCCCACTTAAAAAGATGAGAGAGGCCTGTAATTTTCATCATAGGTACACATCAACTATGACAGACAAATTGAGAATTTTATTTCCAGAAAATCACATTGTAGGATTTTTAATGAATTTATTTGCAAATTATGGTGGAAAATAAGTATTTGGTCACCTACAAACAAGCAAGATTTCTGGCTCTCACAGACCTATAACTTCTTCTTTAAGAGGCTCCTCTGTCCTCCACTCGTTACCTGTATTAATGGCACCTGTTTGAACTTGTTATCAGTATAAAAGACACCTGTCCACAACCTCAAACAGTCACACTCCAAACTCCACTCTGGCCAAGACCAAAGAGCTGTCAAAGGACACCAGAAACAAAATTGTAGACCTGCACCAGGCTGGGAAGACTGAATCTGCAATAGGTAAGCAGCTTGGTTTGAAGAAATGAACTGTGGGAGCAATTATTAGGAAATGGAAGACATACAAGACCACTGATAATCTCCCTCGATCTGGGGCTCCACGCAAGATCTCACCCCGTGGGGTCAAAATGATCACAAGAACGGTGAGCAAAAATCCCAGAACCACACGGGGGGACCTAGTGAATGACCTGCAGAGAGCTGGGACCAAAGTAACAAAGCCTACCATCAGTAACACACTACGCCGCCAGGGACTCAAATCCTGCAGTGCCAGACGTGTCCCCCTGCTTAAGCCAGTACATGTCCAGGCCCGTCTGAAGTTTGCTAGAGTGCATTTGGATGATCCAGAAGAGGATTGGGAGAATGTCATATGGTCAGATGAAACCAAAATATAACTTTTTGGTAAAAACTCAACTCGTCGTGTTTGGAGGACAAAGAATGCTGAGTTGCATCCAAAGAACACCATACCTACTGTGAAGCATGGGGGTGGAAACATCATGCTTTGGGGCTGTTTTTCTGCAAAGGGACCAGGACGACTGATCCATGTAAAGGAAAGAATGAATGGGGCCATGTATCGTGAGATTTTGAGTGAAAACCTCCTTCCATCAGCAAGGGCATTGAAGATGAAACGTGGCTGGGTCTTTCAGCATGACAATGATCCCAAACACACCGCCCGGGCAACGAAGGAGTGGCTTCGTAAGAAGCATTTCAAGGTCCTGGAGTGGCCTAGCCAGTCTCCAGATCTCAACCCCATAGAAAATCTTTGGAGGGAGTTGAAAGTCCGTGTTGCCCAGCGACAGCCCCAAAACATCACTGCTCTAGAGGAGATCTGCATGGAGGAATGGGTCAAAATACCAGCAACAGTGTGTGAAAACGTTTGACCTGTGTCATTGCCAACAAAGGGTATATAACAAAGTATTGAGAAACTTTTGTTATTGACCAAATACTTATTTTCCACCATAATTTGCAAATAAATTCATTAAAAATCCTACAATGTGATTTTCTGGATTTTCTTTTTCTCATTTTGTCTGTCATAGTTGACGTGTACCTATGATGAAAATTACAGGCCTCTCATCTTTTTAAGTGGGAGAACTTGCACAATTGGTGGCTGACTACATACTTCTTTCCCCACTGTATATGGTTTTGCATAAGGAACATTTGAGATATTCTTCTGTTATTTCATATGGTGTTTTATTTTTTGCAAGAAACTGAATATATTATATTTGTTCTACTAGTTATCAACATATTGTTCAATGTTTAAAAAAAATAAAGCCCAGTTATTATTCTGTGACTTTAGCTAATATGCTTTCGTTATTTTTTGCCATGGTATCGTTCCGGTATCTTGTATCGTTTTGGTATTGAGTATTATGATACTAAACCTGGTATCGATGTATAAAAATCAGGATATCGTGACAACACTAGGTCCGTTTTTGAAAAATGTAGAGACAAAGGCCTGAATAAACATTAATTTGACAAGTCAAAACAAGCATAACTCACACTTAATTGTTAAGTGTCCACTGTCCTGCACAATTCATTTAGTGCCATATACACTACCATTCAAAAGTTGGGGGTCACTTAGAAATGTCATTGTTTTCGAAAGAAAAGCAATTTTTTTGTCCATTAAAATATCAAATTGATCAGAAATACAGTGTAGACATTGTTAATGTTGTAAATGGCTATTGTAGCTGGAAACGGCTGATTTTTTATGGAATATCTACATAGGCCCATTATCAGCAACCATCAGTCCTGTGTTCCAATGGCACGTTCTGTTTGCTAATCCAAGTTTATCATTTTAAAAGGCTAATTGATCATTAGAAAACCCTTTTGCAATTATGTTAGCACAGCTGAAAACTGTTGTGCTGATTAAAGAAGCAATAAAACTGGCCTTCTTGAGACTAGTTGAGTATCTGGAGCATCAGCATTTGTGGGTTCGATTACAGGCTCAAAATGGCTAGAAACAAAGAACTTTCTTCTGAAACTCGTCAGTCTATTCTTGTTCTGAGAACTGAAGGCTATTCTATGCGAGAAATTGCCAAGAAAATGAAGATCAAACACCAGTCTCAACGTCAACAGTGAAGAGGCGACTCCGGGATGCTTACCTTCTAGGCAGAGTTGCAAAGAAAAAGCCATATCTCAGACTGCCCATCTTAATCTTTTCTTTTTATTGGCCAGTCTGAGTTATGGCTTTTTCTTTGCAACTCTGCCTAGAAGGTAGGCATCCCGGAAAAAAATTGCTTTTCTTTCAAAAACAAGGACATTTCTAAGTGACCCCAAACTTTTGAACGGGAGTGTATGTACTAAGCCAAATTAGCCAACCCTGAATTTAGTCATTGAATGATCGGTTGTTATTTTTAATAGCGTGGGTTGTACCTTGTTTACAAACAAGCACGCCATGTGTCACCCATACTCATTTCCTATTCCTTACTTTTCAGAGAGGACCACAGGTTAAAGCTGATTAAGAGAGAACAGAAGGACACAGGAGTTATATGCACCTAATGCTCATACATGGGTTTAAATAGTATTTGAAACCATTTCAAATACATTAGCTGTGCTTGATTGAGCTTGCCTGGCACAATGGAACCAATATAGCAGTCCCAAATGTGCAAACCCCGCCCACCTGGCACTCCAGGCATACTAAAGCAAACGCTCAAAGTATTTGAAATTATTTAAAATAGTATTTTTTATTTGTATTTATTAAGGATCCCCATTGGCAGCAGCTCCTCTTCCTGGTAGTATAAGAATAGTATTTCAAATAGTAGTAGAAATTATTTCAAATAGTATGTGACCCCATGTCTGTATGCTACTAACTAAAGCCACAGGCTACAGGGGAAACCTTGAGTGAGTGATTCAGGAGTGTTGACCATAGCAAATTAGGGGTATATGCATGACTAAGGCACCATTTTTATTTAGTTGTAATTTTTTGAAAAAATGTAAGGCACTTTGACATAACAAAATGTTGATTGACTGATTGATTTACAAGAGGAGTGCGGTCACAAAGGTCATTACTTATGATTGGTCTGATTACATAGTGTGTTCACCCTCAAAACAATTCCCCACCCTGAGATAGGAAGCGTAGCTTCCATTTCCACTGGCTACCCCAAGAGAACCCTCTCTATGGCAGTTTCAGAAGTGCGGATATCTTACAAAAGACACCATATCTAATATCCTGAGACTTAGACATAGGCGAATTATATACACTGAGTATACCAAACATTAGGAACACCTTCCTAATATAGAGTTGCACCCCCCCCTTTTGCCCTCAGAACAGCCTCAATTCGTCAGGGCATGGACTCCACAAGGGGGGCGAAAACAATCCACATGGATGCTGACCCATGTTGACTCCAATGCTTCCCACAGTTGTGTCAAGTTGGCTGGATGTCCTTTGGGTGGTGGACCATTCTTGATACACACGGGAAACTGTTGAGCGTGAAAAACTCAGCCGAGTTGCAGTTCCTGACACAAATTGGTGCGCCTGTTCAAAGGCACTTCAATCTTTTGTCTTGCCCATTCACCCTGTCAATGGCACACACACACAATCCATGTCTCAATTGTCTCAAGGCTTAAAATCCTTCTATAACCTGTCTCCTCCCCTTCATCTACACTGATTTAATTGGATTTAAAAGTGAGATCAATAAGGGATCATCGCTTTCACCTGGATTCACCTGGTCAGTCTGTCATGGAAAGAGCAGGTTTTCTTAATGTTTTATACACTCAGTGTATAAATGGGAGACGGAGGAGCACTGACTAAATTACCCAACTTTACAGCCATCCTTTACATATGATGAGGCTATTTTGTGAGTCTAATGTTCTTAGTGCTCTTCGGTGTAGGACGAGGGAAATGATAGTTCCATTACCAAGATTATATCAAAATTAGCTTTAATGCCTTGAGTCAACTTCTGAACCCACATAACAAGAACATTTATGACACAAACAGTACAGGGTAAAGTACACAAATACATGCAGGGATGTGATCAGGACAAGACAGTAAATTAGGAAATTCTGGATTCTGGCTAGAGGATAGGCCAGTTTCAATTATAAAAATGGAGGATAATGTCAGAAAAGCCTTTGATCAGGAGAAATCACATCCCTGATATGGAAATCTAAAGCTACTACAGAGCCGCCACCACCTTGCGAGAGAGAGCGTCCGCTACAAGTGTCAGCTATGAAAAGACTCAAGAGAGGAGAGAAGGACAGTCTGCTACACAGTTATGCTACGGAGAGAGAGAAGAACGGAGGGAGGGATAGCTGTAAAGGGAGAGAAGAGAGAGGGGGGAGAGGTAGGGCCACTATATATTGTGAGGTCAGATCAGGTGAGGCCAGGTGAGGTGAGAGTACAGGTACCTGTATAATGCTTGGAGGTGCTGAGTTCCGTTAGTGTGTCCCTCCAGTCACTGTACCAGGGGACGCTAGCTTTAACAGAGCGATCTGACGGGGGGAGAGAGTCAGGGACTAGTGTTAGCAACATCCCATTATCTGTACAGGATCTCCCACTGATATTTACCACTCATAGCTCATCTACAGTACCAATATCATAGATAGCATACATCACATAGTAGATACCACATTGTAGATAGTTGACCACTGTAGGGAAAACCAGGGAAGATCAGCATTATAGGAGACTGAGCTGCTGGAGAGGGTCATTCTCACCACCATGGCTTCCACTTTGACCTACAAATGTGCCCTATAGATAGCTTGGAAAAAAGGTTAGCCCAAATCATAAGCTTAGCTTCCAACAAAACAGTGAAGACAGAACACAGCATTTCTATGCTCCATTTATAGGTCAAAGGGAGACATAGGAGGGCCAGAGTTGGGTTGACTTAACTCTAGGTTAGGGTTAGAGGAGACTGTTTGATCCAAGCAAGGTCCACTAACAGTATGGGAGCAATAGAGTGGATAGGAGAGGTTAGTGGATGTGGACCAGCAGGGGGAAACACACGCTTTGATAGAGTCACCACAAAGTTGCTGCAATGTTACCCAAAGGTCATTCCTTGTGAAAATGGAACAAGAATCTCCATTAACTTTCCTGACATTTCTCTAGGCTATATTCATATCATAACCCAGGTTTCCATCCAACATTTTTATGTGAGCAAAGTACACTACCGTTCAAAAGTTTGGGTCACTTAGAAATGTCATTGTTTTGGAAAGAAAAGCTATTTTTTTGTCCATTAAAATAACATCAAATTGATCAGAAATACAGTGTAGACATTGTTAATGTTGTAAATGTCTATTGTAGCTGGAAACGGCTGATTTTTAATGGAATATCTACATAGGCCCATTATCAGCAACCATCAGTCCTGTGTTCCAATGGCACGTTGTGTTTGCTAATCCAAGTGTATCATTTTAAAAGGCTAATTGATCATTAGAAAACCCTTTTGCAATTATGTTAGCACAGCTGAAAACAATTAAGAGGGAACTCTTCATTAAATAGTACCCGCAAAACACCAGTCTGAACGTCAACAGTGAAGAGGCAACTCCGGGATGCTGACCTTCTCGGCAGAGTTGCAAAGAAAAATCCATATCTCAGACTGCCCATCTTAATCTTTTCTTTTTATTGGCCAGTCTGAGATATGGCTTTTTCTTTGCAACTCTGCCTAGAAGGTCAGCATCCCGGAGTTGCCTCTTCACTGTTGACGTTGAGACTGGTGTTTTGTGGGTACTATTTAATGAAGATGCCAGTTGAGGACCTGTGAGGCGTCTGTTTCTCAAACTAGAAACTAATGTATTTGTCCTCTTGCTCAGTTGTGCACCAGGGCCTCCCACTCCTCTTTCTATTCTGGTTAGAGCCAGTTTGCGCTGTTCTGTGAAGGGAGTAGTACACAGCATTGTATGAGATCTTCAGTTTCTTGGCAATTTCTCGCATGGAATAGCCTTCATTTCTCAGAACAAGAATAGACTGACGAGTTTCAGAAGTAAATTCTTTGTTTCTGGACATTTTAAGCCTGTAATCGAACCCACAATTGCTGATGCTCCAGATACTCAACTAGTCCCTTTAATCAGCACAAGGGTTTTCTAATGATCAATTAGCCTTTTAAAATGATAAACTTGGATTAGCAAACACAACGTGCCATTGGAACACAGGACTGATGGTTGCTGATAATGGGCCTCTGTACGCAAATGTAAAATGTAATATTCCATTAAAAATCAGCCGTTTCCAGCTACAATAGACATTTACAACATTAACAATGTCTACACTGTATTTCTGATCAATTCATTTGTTATTTTAATGGACAAATAAATTGCTTTTCTTTAGAAAACAAGGACATTTCTAAGTGACCCCAAACTTTTGAACGGTAGTGTACATGTTGGATAAATCAAATTCACGACAGGCCTGATGGAAACAGCTAATTTGTTGTTAAACTTTCCAAATGTCCAAAAAACAAAACACGCTAGGTAAGGTGGGATCTTTTCTTGCCGGTAAAATTAATTACGCGAGAAATGGAGTTGGAAAAACTTAAATGCAGGTAGCTTAGTGGTTAAGAGCGTTGTGCCAGTAACCAAAAGGTCGCTGGTTCTAATCCCCGAGCAGACTAGGTGAAAAACCTGTTGATGTGTCCTTGAGCAAGGCACTTAACCCTAATTGCTCCTGTAAGTCGCTCTGGATAAGAGCGTCTGCTAAATGACTAAAAATTACATTAAATATCGAAGTTAACGGAGTCACGCAATGACATGTTGTGTGGCTCTCCCACTATGACTCCGGAAAGCATGCAGTTTATTAGGCTACAGATTAAATAAATTATGATGAACTTCACAGGGTGGTGAAAGTGCAAGGTGATGAACTCAATGCTCCTTTCCAATAAATATCAAGGGTCTTATTCTGGTGATATGATGCTTGGCTGCCGTTTGACAAATAAATATAATTTCACTCTTTTGTCCATAATAATGTCATCATGTAGGCTATACCCGCACTGTATCTACGATCTGTTGGCTAGAGCGCACGTGCCAATACCAGAGTTGGCATATTTGTGTTAAAACCATCACTAGAGTTGAAAAAGCGATGGAAACCCATTTAACTTGTATTTTTTATTTGGTACATGGAAATTTAACCACAAAAGTTATGTTTATGTCCACTACGTCATCACACACAGCCTTTTATCTGCAACAAGTCAATTTGATGGAAACACATATCTGGTGGGAAAATGCGCATATTATTTTAATGCAGATTATTGAATAGCCGCATGAAAATCTGTCGCCAATTGGATGGAAAACTAGCTATATACACTGAAAAAGAATATGTCCTGCAAAAAGCATTTCTCTGAGCTAAATTTCAGGGAACTAAAAGTGTTTATGGATATTTCTGTTCCACTGTCAAATGGCTTGACCTGTAACTGTAACGTTGTAGGTTAGAGGTCAGAGGTTGAGGTAGGCTCTTACCCAAGGGTCGTCCAGGTCAGTAAAAGAGAAAATAAAGTTATAAAGTTAATAAATTACGGAATTAACAAAAGAAATTAACAACATGGAAATCACTCCCATATTGCAATATGTTTGCTGTTATTGTCTGTCTGCAAAACAATATATTTTTTAAGAAATCCCTCCCGTCATGCCTCTCCCGAGTGTCTGCTGCCATCTGCAGGACAATCTATGAAACTACAGGACAAGTGTCACATTCCTCATCAATAAACACTACATTCCAGGACTCTGTTCCGTCTTAGTTTCACTATTACTAAGCTTGTTGCCAGAGTTCACTTTTCTCATATCAGTCTTTGTCCGGAAATGTACACGTGAAGGATGATGTACTATTAAATGGAGTCAGCTGTGGCTTGTGGCTGCCATAGCCCAACTTCTCAATTTTACTTTTACTGCACTATAAAAGTTGTCTTGACTGTCATCCTGCTATTTGACAGAAACAAAGCTCTTGTCCTTCAGAGCCTGCCTTTTCTCCACATATCTTCTCACCCTTTCCCCGCATCTCTCCCACTATTTCTTCTACTCTTGACTTCTTTCTTCCTCACTCCATCCCTTACCCATTTCACGCTCATCCCCTTCTTTCTCTGTCCAATTTACTCACCACTAATATTAAGGTCATAGTCTCCAGCGGTGATGACATTGGCCACACCCCCCTCGGCTGGTTGGCATGCCGACACCACCTCGCTGAGCAGCCGTCGCTGGGCGGGGCCAGGGACGCCGGAGGTGGGGACAGAGGGGCGTGCCACCACGTTGTTGACACTGATGCGAAGGTTCTTCACCACCTGCACCTGGTTGTTAGGGTCCCTCGTGTGACCTATGAGAGACCCGTATGGGAAAAGATTAGGCTACATACGCACAATCACACATCCAATGTCTGAGCTGGACATCAGAAAATATAGGCTATTCAGTTGTCTCCAAAAAAACACATGAGAGCATTGATTGCAATGTGCATCTCCTTTTCTCTATCAGATACACAGACAGTCAGTCAAAGGAAGAAAATAATTAGAGATTTTAACAAAAGAGGGGGAAGATTATGCTTAACGTGTGAAAAGACATGTGGATCTGAGACTAAGGTGGTATGCTACACCCAACTACTTTTGACTCCTGTATGAAGGATCCACAGAAACAGCGTCCATACAACTTCATGCAGTAAGAACATTATCATGAGGCAGCATGTGTGGACAGCCGGACACCTAAGCATTCAATCACATTCAAATGGCCATGTACCCTAACTTTTATGGCACTTCTCCATAGTGAAGAAAAGTGTTGTGTCTCCTCCTCTAAGTCTGTCTGGCCTGTCAACAATTTGGAGACATTCCTATAGAAATTAGATTAAATGTGACTGAAAAGCATGCACACACATACACACCACTGAAGAGCAAATTCTCTGTAAGCAATTTTTGTGAGAATGCCACAACTTGTTTGCAGGAGTAACATCTCTAATTCAAGGAATTTCCCCCAGAATGCACACTATGCTTCTGGCACAGTATATCAACACCAGCTCAGCAGCTACTAAATTGTTAGTTAGTCTATTGTTGTTCTACAGGTAGCTGTGACAACCGTGGTGTAATGTAGCGCTGACTGACCCTCTGGGGAGACAGGTGCAGGAGGACAATAGGAAACCCCTAGTCCAACTCCTCTTCTTCTCTTGGGTAGAAAATGTAAGTCTTCTTATGTGTCTATGAGAGGTTTTGATTTTTGCTTTTTTGATTTAACCCCCTTTTTCTCCCCAATTTCAATCTTGTCTCATCGCTGCAACTCTCCAATGGGCTTGGGAGGCGAAGGTCGAGTCATGCGTCCTCTGAAACATGACCCGCTAAACCACGCTTCTTAACACCCGCCCGCTTAACCCGGACGCCAGCCGCACCAATGTGTCGGAGGAAACACTGTTCAACTGACAACCGAGGTCAGCCTGCAGGCGCCCTGCCCGCCACAAGGAATCGCTAGAGTGCGGTGAGCCAAGTAGTGAGCCAAACCCTCCCCTAACCCGGACGACGCTGCGCCGCCCTATGGGCAGTGCCTTAGACCGCTGCGCCACTCGGGGGGCAATTATAAGACAACCAGGGTTATTACAGGGCAGTGACTATTATGAATGTGATTTTATCATAGCCTGATGATTAAAACCCAGTCTTGTTTATTCCAAAACATGACAGTTTTCCAATTTCACATGAGCCATAGCAAAAAGAAACATGGTAGCTATGGATGTGGTTGCTAGGCCTTTGTAGTACGACTATACGTTAGCTATGGATATGGGTTGGTAAGTATGTAGCTAACTAGCAAGCTAGATTACATAATGAGTGAGGTAGCCAGGACATCGCATTGTCAGACTGTCTGACCATGAGTAACCTTGCATTTTAAATGCCAGTGGTAAACTAGCATTAAGCCGAATTACTAATACAAGTGGCTGCTTAATCCAGGTTCAACTGAATGGCCATCCCTATCTCAGAATCCATCTTCCTTACTCCAGTTAGCCAGCTTTTTAGCTTATGGTCTGTCAAATATGGTCGGCCGTTGTTCAGTCAATAACAGTGTCACACAAGATGACTGGCTGTTAGTTGGCTAAGCACCTCTGAAATTGGCTATTATAACAAGCAGGCAGTCTACCTTGAAGTTGCAGCTAAACAATTTAGTGATAGTATGACAGGCGAAGCTTAGCTCCCACGTCGCTGCCAGCACCACCCCCACCTAATCTAGTTGGGCCTCTTCCCCGCGCGTTGACACCAAAAAGCCTTCTTTGCTAACGTCATTAGCTGCAAAGACACCCAAGACGGTTGCAGACGTAAGACAATGGCAGACATCTCGGGTCCTATCAGGTGACACATTGAAGAAACAAGACAAGGCCCCTGTTTCAGCACCACATCTGCTACTGGTTAACCATTCCTGTCACTTCACTTCACTGCCAGTGACGGCAGTGGTGAAGTGTAGCTAGCTAACGTTAGTTAGCTTAGCTAACGTTAGTTAGCTGGCTAGGATAACATGCACACACAAAAATGTCGCAATAGCTTGATTTTAGATGTCCCTTGTGTAATGTGGAAGTCTCTAGCATGAAAACGAACAGTTGTTGTGTGTCAAAGCCCTTACCTTCGGAGGTTAACCGGCAGAAGGGCCTTAACAGCTCCGAGAAATTCAGGTTGTTTTTACGAGTCACTTTTTCCGCATCTTCGCTGCACAGGACGGCCACCATCGGGACAAACGAGTCCTGGATGAACTCCTGCACAGACTGTACGCACTGAGCCATTGCGGTCTGCTTGAGAGGTCCAGGCTACGAAAATGTATTTCTCTCTGGATTTAGATAGCGAAAAGCTATCCGCTTCTGAGTTGAAAACAACTCCCTTACTGACAGTGCAAGGCAGCCATGTTGAATTCTACAGTTGCCTACTGATCGATTCTCTTCGGTCGTCACTAGTTACAACAGCCACAAAGTCATAAACCCCGCCTATTTCTAAAATGTATATTCTTAAAATGTTATTTAAAACCTAACCTTAACCACACTGCTAACATTATGGCTAACTCTAACCTTAAATTAAGACAAAAAAGCACATTTTGGTTTTCATGCATGTTTACGATATAGCCAAATCTGACTTTGTGGCTATGCTATTTAGTGGAAACCATTCGCTTCCGAGAAGGGTGCAATTGCAGCCCGCAATTCGGGGCGTTCTCAGGAACCGCTCTTTAAAATTATTGGTATATGTTTAAACTAAAATAGGCGGAAGGTAGGGGCGCTCCAGTACTGTAGTACCCGTTGGATGCCAACCGCCGATAAACCCCACAGAAGAAGAAGAGGCTAGGGCTACAACAGTAGACAGTGTCCTTTACCCAGCCTGTCCGGCACTATTTTAATGGGAGTGATTCTGATTCATGCCTATGGGGACTAATTCATGCCAGAATTAAGCCTAGTGAAGCTACTGATACCTCTCACCAAGTCCACTAACGTCTCCATAGCCCATAAGATACCGCCATAAATTAACGGACTGTCAATGCAGACAAGTTATTTCAAACACATCAAGTCCCCTGTAGCTCATTTGGTAGAGCATGGCGCTTGCAACGCCAGGGTTGTGGGTTCGTTTCCCACGGGGGGCCAGTATGAAAATGTATGCACTCACTAACTGTAAAGTCACTCTGGATAAGAGTGTCTGCTAAATGACTAAAATTTAATGTAAACTGTAAATCAAACTGCCAACGTGTTAACTTCACGTTCATGTCACATGACACGTACACCAGTGGAGGCTGCTGAGGGGAGGAAGGCTAATAATAATGGCTGGAACGGAGCAAATGGAATGGCATCAAGGAAATGGAAACCACGTATTTGATACCATTCCGCTCCAGCCATTACCGTGAGCCCGTCCTCCCCAATTAAGGTGCCACCAACCTCCTGTGACGTACACATCATGTAGATGTAGTGTACACGTGACACTGACATATCAGTTTGCGTGTACGTTTATTATGAAAGATCTCACCATGAATGCCTTAAAAACTTCTATAAGACATCTATGCGTACATCAGTGTTTTGTATGAGACCACCTAAAGCGAGACAGATTCAAGCAAAAGACCGGAGCAAATCGAGTCAAAGTCAAGACCAAGACCGGGAGGGGGACAAGCTGTGCGATACCGAGTCAAGACCTAGACCAGAAAAATGCGAGTCCAATTCAAGACCATGATTATAATTTTGTCAAATCGCCACCGTAATAAGAGTTAAACATTTCAGAAGAACATCTGGATCCTTTAGACATTCAGAATGGTGAAAAAATTTATGCTGAGGGCAAATAGAGCCACTCTACAAATAATCACTAACCCAAACACAGTGGGTAACAATGAGGACCTTCTACACCTTCAGAGAAGGGCTAAGGATTTATAAAATATTAATAATAATAATAATAATAATAATTCTAATGATATTCTTTTCAATTATGTTCTGATTTAATCTCTTCAGTTTTTGTTGGAAAGGAAAGGGTTAACACTGAAGAGAGAAAATACAGATCCAATAAGGATTTTCCTTTGGTGGTCTCTGAGGAGTTAAATCTAGCTAGCTAAATCAGACATTGGCTAGGCCGTCAGAAGCTAGATAGAAGGCATCTGCCATTCAACTGTATTAGTGGAATTTGTGGAACCAATCACATTTTGACAAAAAAAACATATGGAAACTTCTGCCTTCTCAAAGGCCAACAGGTACAATAGCAGAGCAGTAGTTTTCCCACAGTTTAGCAAGCTGTCTTTTGTTGAAGGCTAGTTTGCAGCGGCTGCAGCAGGTGTTATGGAAGAGGATGTTGTTGCTAATTTGTTAGCTTCTCCCTTTTCAAGAATAACTTTCAACATGAAGTTAAGTTTCAAATTATCATCATCTGGTGAGTGGAACTGTGTTTTTTATTGGAGCTCGCTTCGAAAATCACTTGTATGTGAAATATTGTTGTGTTTGAACTTCAGGTCACCAGTTACTTTGTGTGCTTAACGTGAAATGTTTTTTGCAATGGGAAGTAATCATTTTGATTGGGAAATGCTTAGACTAATTATTGTGTTTTTCTACGCTTATGATTGATTATTATGTCTGAGTGAATGGACTGCTTATCCTTTAACATCATGCTGTGTGTGGCTACTGTCTTTCCATCGGCCCTATGCAGTGGTGTAGTGGTGTCACGATCGTTAATTGATGAAGCGGACCAAGGCGCAGCGTGATAAGCGTACATACTTTATTTAGTACTTAACACCCGAACAAAACAACAAAACGATACGTGAAGTCCTGAGGTTATAACACACAAACCTTAACGGATCAAGATCCCACCCAGACTGGTGCCAAACTGCTGCCTAAGTATGGTTCCCAATCAGAGACAACGAACTACAGCTGCCTCTGATTGGGAACCACCCTGGCCAACATAGATCTACATGATCTAGAAACTCAAACATAGAAAACTAAACATAGAAACTAAACACCCTGGCTCAACATTTAAGAGTCCCCAGAGACAGGGCGTGACAGTACCCCCCCCCAAAGGCGCGGACTGCGACCGCGCCACACAAACACAAGAGTGTAGGGGCCGGGTGGGCATTCCGCCTCGGAGGCGGATCCGGCTCCGGGCGTGACCACCACTCTCTCTCCACCCCCCCGTTGCGCCCTTGGTCTGGTCTGGCCCCGCTGGCCGGAGCTGGACTGGACACCGGTGGAACGGATTGCTCTTGCTCCGGAGTGGAGCAGCTGACCGGTGCCGGACCAGGCACCGGTGGAACAGGTACGGGCCGTGCCGGACTGACGACGCGCACCACTGGCTTGGTGCGGGGAACAGAAACGGGCCGGACCGGGCTGACGACGCGCACCACTGGCTTGGTGCGGGGAGCAGGAACAGGCCGGACCGGGCTGGCGACGCGCACCACTGGCTTGGTGCGGGGAGCAGGAACAGGCCGGACCGGGCTGGCGACGCGCACCACAGGCTTGGTGTGGGGAGCAGGAACAGGCCGGACCGGGCTGGCGACGCGCACCACAGGCTTGGTGCGAGAGACAGGAACAGGCCGGACCGTACTGGGAACACACACCACTGGCCTTGTGCGGGGATCAGGAACGGGCCGGACCGGACTGGTGACACACACCACTTGCTTGGTGCGAGGAGCGGGACTGGGTTTCCTTATAAAACTCCGCTCCCTCTGCTGCCTAACCAGTACCTCTCGCCGTGCCTCTACACTCTCCTTCTCCCTCATGACCAATGGCCCCCGTAACCTGGTGGCCTCCTCTCCTAGTCCGCAGATTCGCCCTGTAGCTGCCTCCAGCAGCCCCGTCGTCCACGCCGTGTGCCCCCCAATTTTTTTTTATTGGGGTTGCCTCTCGCGTGTCCGTCGTCGGCACGGTTGGCGCCGTTTCTCCTCTCCTGCCTGGGCATTTACCTTTGCCCATGGCCCTCTGCCCGCGAATATCTCCTCCCATGACCACCATTCACCCACCTGAGACATCGCCCTCTTCTCCTCCTGGGCACGCTGCTTGGTCCTCTTGTGGTGGGATCTTCTGTCACGATCGTTAATTGATGAAGCAGACCAAGGCGCAGCGTGATAAGCGTACATACTTTATTTAGTACTTAACACCCGAACAAAACAACAAAACGATACGTGAAGTCCTGAGGTTATAACACACAAACCTTAACGGATCAAGATCCCACCCAGACTGGTGCCAAACGGCTGCCTAAGTATGGTTCCCAATCAGAGACAACGAACTACAGCTGCCTCTGATTGGGAACCACCCTGGCCAACATAGATCTACATGATCTAGAAACTCAAACATAGAAAACTAAACATAGAAACTAAACACCCTGGCTCAACATTTAAGAGTCCCCAGAGCCAGGGCATGACAAGTGGTGCCTGGAGAAGTGGGTATACTCTAATTTTGCCAAAGATGTCCCAAACGACCTGCCCAGTGAAAGAAAGGCACGCTGTGTGAAAAATCCTATGTTTTCCTATGTTTTTTAAATTAGTTTTCCTATATCTTTTTCAGATTTTCACTCTCAAAATCACACTTTTTAAAATAAAAAAACGAAAAAAATGTGATGTTCTAAGTTCACAATTATGCTTAAACCACACCAGGAGACCATTTTGGAGGTCTGAGGAGCATTTTTTAAATAAGAATGTATATTTTTTTGGTTTTGCTCAATCTGATTGGGTGGGCCTGGCAGGGCCCGGCTCCCCAGTGGTTGGGCATGTGTCCACCTAGGCCCACTCATACCTATGCCCCTGATGCGAACAGCACATGATGACTGAATTGGCCATCACAAACAGCCTACTAATGTCGTAGAAATATTTGACTCAAAAGTAGTCAACTCAAAAATATTTCTCAAGAGACTGGAACTTGTGAATCCAAAAATTAGACTTGTATTATTTGCATAACAAAGCCGAGCTTGCTCCATGGAACAACTGCTTGCCCTGAACCGGAGCGCTCCTTTTATACAGACACAAATGCATAGTCATACTGATACAACATACATAGTTACTCCTCCCTATATGAATGAATAACATCTTTCAGTATCACATGTTGGCTACTCACAGGGGCTACTTGCGCTTCTCTAAATGGGGCCTCTGTATCTTATTAGTGGCATGACTCAAAAAATGATGTACATACGTACGTTAAAGAACCATCACACTCTGTATTGACTATATTCACTATCCAGGCATGCATCTGGAGTACAAAGTATCAATCATGTTCATTCTGTTTTACCTTTATCATTTCATAACACATTATAAAACATATCAATTAATACTTAAACATGGTTT